TTGTTTAGTGTTAGCCAGCGCTACCGCAGCTTTAACAGCAGGGTTGTAACAGACGACGCTACCGCGTCCCTGCGTGCGGAGCGTCCCCGTGTCGAGGCCTTCGCCTTCACACATGGAGAAGTAATCAAAACACGGAGGCAAAAAGAAGCACGTAGCATCTTCCTTCAAAGCAGAGTGTTCCCTTCTGTTTTTGACATAGAGAAAGCCGAATCCTTCCGGCAACCGATCAGCTACTGTTTTCACAGGGGAAACCATAGCACGGGATTTGTATTCTGAAAAACTCACCACAGGGACGGAAAAAGGAAAATCTAGTCTACATTTTCTTCCTGCTGTGATGAGTTGTGGAAAATACCCCATAAAAATGATGTCACACAAAGAAGCTGAAAACAGCAGCAACAACAACTGCCTTCTATGGGATGTTAATTGAAGGTGTGTATTAGTGTATAAAATATAAAATGTTCTCATTTAAAAGTAGTTTTATTTTACTTTTATTTGTACAAAGACTAAACAGAAAATGTGCTTTTTAACAGCAGTATTCCCAGTTAGAATTCTGTTGTAAATCTCAACCTGAAAATGAATCTTCATCCAACCTACTGGGATCTGTCACTGGGAAAGCGATGGACCAAATGGGACACGCGACTCGTTCGATACGAACAACCTTTGAATACACAAGCAAAAGCGGAAGTGATCTTCAGGGGAATCCGGACCGCGGAGGCCGCTCATCTGCCACCGCACTGGTTTTCTACTTGATTCCTAACACTTACCCAATAGCTTGAAAGTGGTATTATTTGTCATCAGACAGAATTCAGAAAAGGTCCAAGACTTCACTTAAGGAATAAAGACTGATTTTCCCATGTTCCCATTAATGTACACTAATTCCATTATTACAGTCTATTTATGATTTCTTCCACATAATGGTTCTGTAATGCCACTGAGGGCCGTGTCAGGCCGTATAGTTAGGTGTTTAATGTCAGAGTGAGCTGGGGTTTAAGGCAGGGCGGCTGTCAGTAATTCCGTAAACAGAAGGGAAATGAGCTACGGTCTCCCTTGAGCCAGGGTGCCGTTCCAATCATTCCCCCGATGTCACTCGTTAAATCTAGCAGACCTAAACCTAAATACACAGCTACAGAACAAACTGCATGCTCCACCATCCGGGGGCTCGAACCAGAGAGAAAAAAGCTGCAACTCCCGTGTTAACATGGTTTGAGCCCACGTCACACCTGGCTGGGAGGCCGACTTGCCAAATAAACGATGCTGTTACCAAATAAATGTCCAATAGGATCTGGCAGGGGCGAAGGAGCTGACACGTAAGTAGTCATCACTACTGCTATTCAAAATAATTCTGTTAGCCTCTTCAAGTCACACTTAAAGCAAACTGTCATTAGTATTATTGTACGTTGCTGTAACAATTGTGAAACGTAAACACAAAGTGTGCTGGTTTTTCAACACTACGACAGTTTTGTGGGGAATTATCTGTATTTACACAAGCAGTGATCGTTGGGCTGAGAGAGTTTGATAGTTAAGCTGCTGAAATAATCCAAACAGAGACATAAACCTCAGTGACAGCTGAGCTTTCTGAAACCTAAAACTTTACAGCTGACCGGCTCCCTTATGAAATAACTCTGTTTACCGAGAAAAACTTTAGGACTGGTCTCTATTACAACTCAGACCTCTTACGGCAGGTCATTAGACCGCTCCCCGAGACTCACTCACATAGTGCCCGTACAGACCAACAGCCATTGCTTTTCACCAACACATTAGGTCACACGTCATTACATTTTCAAGTTGCCCTCGTACGGCACAGGGCGTTATTTGTTGCTCTGTCCTGCTTCCCTGGATGCCAAATCACAACACCTGTTCACAGGCCTTTACCCACTCGGTAGGTTCCTCAGGATTCTTTCCAGATGATGCAGAGAAGGCCCTCTTGTAAAACATGTCTGGAAACCATACGCTAAAGCTTTATTGTGACCCTGATCTTTAAATTTCATCCAAATAGAAATGAACACAAATAAAAGAGTTTGTTAATTTGCTGCGTTCGCGGTCGGCTCCCCCAATGTTATTTGCAGCTTCGCCCTTGTTAGCGATATGTCGTTATGTCCCTGAATGAGCTACGTTGAGTAGATATCATACGAGGCCTCAGAGGCTGCTCGTGCTTTTAAAAAATCAGACTAACAACGTCTGGATGAAACCCTGTTCTCACACGTTCCATATTTACTGGTTTCATTTGGTGGTTCCTGCAGCAGTTGGTGAGTACTTGACAAAATCCTGAGCTATTCCCATTCTTTCCACTCAGATCATAAAACTCTGAATTTTCCAACAGAACAGCCCCTGTAGGCACAGCGAGTCCCCCAGGGCCATGGGATAATTAAGCAAACTCTTTCCACGCCACATCACAGAGGAACATTTGAATATTTCCATTTCGATAAATGCGGTGCATTGCCATCCGATTTATAATATAGCCACACAGATTAAACCTGGCTAAAAAAAGGCCCATTACAACAACAATTTACTGAAGTGTATTCACGGTACTCGGGTTGAAAAGGTCAACACAGGTCACCAGAGAACCATCCATCACGACTGGCAGACAGGAACACATGCTGGCCTTGTCCGTGTGCGTGTCAAACACAGCTCACTGTGGTGGCCTCAAGCCGTAACCCAACAATGAACAGAAAACACACTCACAATCAGACACGGCTTCGGGCCAAGTCACACTGACAGGTCCTAGGAAATAGCCGTACTAAATATTTTTCCGTGAATATATCAATAATCCTATTGAATGGATTTTTTTTAAGTCATAAAGAGGATTTACATCTTAGACATCAGCTCATGGGAAAGGTCTGATGTAATGTTGTCATTCCCATGTTCCTACCTTCTTTTACACTTTTTTAAAATAACGTGTTTTTAACTATTATAACTTGAGCTGCAAAACACAGAACATGAACATCAGGAATGACCATAAATTACAGTTTACAGGGCCTTTTTATACTTATCGAAATACACATTTTTGATGCTGACGTATAAATCCGCATTTGCCAAACAGGAATGTTGCAGGCTGACTGTTTTTTCTTCTCTTCACTTCCTGTGAGCTTGTTTTGTTTAAACTTGCCTGCAAGTCGCTCTCGGAAAATACAGGACACATTTCACGAGTTTAGAAGCTCCTGCTCGTATGTGACTATTTTTTCAGTTGATTATCATTTTTTGGTTTTGTTGTTTTGTTCATTTACATGAGTAGTCGGCCTGTTTTTATAATTTAATGGATAACAGCAATGAGAGCACATGGAAATAATTACTATAATTAAGTTCCATCCAGTCTTAAAGTTAATGTTTTTCACAAACAGGAGCTTTGCTCCTACTAATCCCAGATGAAACTCTCTCTGTTCACCAACAAAGAAGCCCATCTGTGAAACGTTTCCAACGTGAAGCCACTTCCCATGTGCTGCTTGCGGCTTCAAAATGCATTGATTGCTTACCCATTTAAATGTGGGACGAACATTTTCCCAGGAATTTTATTTTAGTTGTTGTTCCTTCACCTGCCGGGAATTGGAAATGGAACGGGAACTAATGAGTGATTTTGAATGACATCCAATGAGTCACTCAAACGTCCACAAAGGAAACGCAGCTCAGCTTCCCAGCCGTTGAGTAAGATGATGAGTACAAAGCATTTAGTAAAACCAGTGCAGTATAACATCTGACGACGATAGCGAATTCACATTTTGTTTAATTAATCGATCTATTTCAAGGGATTAGCTTGTCAAACGTTTGACTGTACCTTCATTTTGGCTCAATAGTTGATGTTATGACATGAATTGTTCCACTTATCGTTGGTTCCGTTTCGCCTGCCAGGAACTTTGCCTCATAAAGCCAGTTGTACATTCTGTCATCAGGAGAAACATTTAGACGCTTTGGAAACATTTCGTAGTTTCCATTCAATTTAGGAAGAAGCTGAATGGACCCTGGAAGAAATCAACGGCCGAATCCATAAAAAGTTTAACCACACATGATCCAAACAAGGAAATCCTACATGATTGTAATATTAATATAGCCCTTTGTGTGATACACAAGGGGGATGTTTATCAGCAACAAAGCATTGCTGAGCATAGTTGTCCTTGTGGTGTTTCAAAGCTGTCAGTACCCGGTTTAAGAAATGATTTTAGCAGCTGCTAGAAAAGATGAAATTGTGAAGTTTCTGTGTGAACTGAATAAAAAACTTTGAATAAAAACAGGAAAGCCGATTGCGGCATTATTGGCTGGACAATAGTTTCAAATCGACTTGAAAGCAGGAAGACAACGCAAAAGCAACACGCGGCAGCCGATCACGGCAGCGACATCCAAAGTCTTTGCATGAGAAATTCATAGAGCATTGGCAGGATCGTCCACGCAATGACATGACAACGTGTTTCATATCCTTTTCTCTTACAACACTCGTGCACAAGTAAGCTCAGCTCTGCTTTTGAAAGCATTACGTAATTATCTCCCAGCGCGATGTGGCTCCCCAGCGCTGCTCTGTACTCAGATCCAGCCCGTTTCAGACTTAACTCAACTCTGAGCAGTCGCTCAGCCAGACCAGGTCTAGTTCAAAACACCTGGATCTGTTTCCTATCCGACACCTTCTTTCAGTCACAGCCAATTAGGATCCCATCACTTTAACAACGTGGCCGTCCAACAGGAGAGGAACCCAGTAGTCCGAGCCACAAATAGTGGTGGTGTTGAACCAGCGGCCCGGGGGCAGAGGGTCTGAAACCTGAGATGTGTGTGTGTGTGTGGTTTGTGTTGTGCATGCTTGTGTATCTCCTTTGTGCCATGGGGAGGAGGGGTGGAGGAAGAAGGCTTTTGCTTTTTAAAGTAGAATGTGCTCATTTTTAAGGGAGCAGGCGGAGGATTTTTTCTTAATTTAAAAGCCCCAAGGAGAGAGAGGAAGAGAGAAGAGGGTGAGGGGAGCGAGGGGGGAGAGAGAGTGAGAGAGAGAGAGGGAGAGAGGGAGAGAGAGAAGGGGAGAGAGGTGCAGTTGAGAGAGACAGCCTCTTAGAGCTGTGAGGCAGAAGTGATGGATTCAGCCCACAGAAAAGTGACAGTCTTCTCCTAACGGGCCACAGGCAGCACATGCCGCCCTGGACTCTCCCCACTCATCAGGAAACTGTCTCCACCACCCAACTTAAGTTACCACTTGTCTCCTGAAAGAGCTCCAACTTCTTTCCATCGGATTTTGAAACGGTCTTCTCAAGGTTTGCTGAAGAGTTCCTGGCTCAGTTGAGCCGTCTTTTAATAACACGCTTTAGAAACACCCCCACGGCTGGAATGGATGGAGGTGACAGAGAGTAACTATACAGGCAGCGCGCAGGAAGGGGGGGGAGGAGGACGCAGGGGTGCAGCTTTCTAACTTGGGATGACTTTCTACCAGGAGGAACTTCAATCAGCTCTGCCAGGAGGGAAAGGCATCTGAGGGAGCCCCATCGATACCCTGCAAGCATCCGTCTCGTAAGCATCCACCAACCTTTCACTTGTTGATGCGTTGAACTTGTTTTTTGGTTTGTTTATTTGACAGGGACAACTCACGTGCGTAATACATTATGTTGAGAAGTCAATTCATTGCACGGATAAATCCTCCGCAATAAGTCATCTCTCAGAGTAGATGATGACCTTTGTTAGCTTGAGTAAGCGCATTGACATTTCTAACACAACGGTGAAGCAATTACTTGAACTTAAATTGACTGAAGTCAGACTTTGACTGTTCACCCTCATATTGCTTCACTTTACACAACGATTTAGTTTGAAGTTGAATTCAGCAGTCGTCATGCAGCACCTGCTATCTGACTCACTGTTTGGACCTGAACGGGTGGTGGTACTAAACCGGACACGTGACTTTGATGGTCTCGGTTTGGAAGGGTTAATTCAGCGCAGGGGGATGCAGGAGAGTGGGGTCTGTGGGCTAAGTGTTTCTTCGCTGCTGATAAAACACTCAGCTTGTCAAAACACAGGACTCCTGAAGGGGTCAATTGAAGGCATTGGCATTGAAGAGGGTGTGTATGAGGTGATATACAGCGAGAGCATTGTATGATACGTGCCGACACAGACTTATTTTGTCGAATCTAAATGAAACCATTCATTCAAAAAGAGAAAGAAAAAACGGATGACCCGCTACCGGTGCTTCGAGACGCCTGCCGCTTCAGGATGTTTCCCCGGGCTCAAGAGGACAAGGAAGCAGGCGGTTGAATCCCGTCTTTGTTTCTGTTGCCAGGGTAGTGTTTGGATAAGGGGGCTTTGAGGTAGAATGCTGGTACTTATCGAAACAATTCCGGGACCCCCCTCCCTGTCAGATCGCCAGTATGGAATAACTCCCAAAGCAGCATGTGACACACACACACAAAAACTCAAACCTCCACTAAAACAAATACTACCTACGCCATCGTACTGAGCAGGTAGTTTCACTCTAACAAGCATTACATGCTCGAGGAAAGAATGAGGTCACCCTCAAGGTAATGTAACAGTGCAGATTACCGTGAGCAAATTGAATTGGACTCTGATCCAACACATGTAGGGTGTCGTGCAGGAGGCTGCCAGTCCTCAGCGGAGTTGGCGCTAGTTTGAAAATGCTGCACAAAGCCGCCCTCTCCAAAGTGTCCGCTCCTCTTCAGCCACCGACAAACGATGTGCCGTGTAGTCGTGTCGTGATCCCCCCCGCTCTGGATGACGATGATGCGATTGTGAGGCATTCACACAGAAAGTAGGACACCGTGAGTGAACTGGGTCAGTGCGTCTTGCAGGCACGGAGGGGGATAAGGGGAGTCGTGGTCCCGCGTCTAGAGGGTCTAGCCGTCTGCCACCGCCGTTGACTCTCCATGTGTGTATGGCAGCTCGCTCTAATGAGGTGACGAAGAATGCGAGGAATGCCATGCTCACACCGAAATGAGAGGGGCCTGGGTGAGAGACAGTCTGAGCGAGGCTGCCCACCTTCTAATTAATATGTGCTGAGCCCGAGCAAAAAAAGGCCGGGGCACGGCGCTGGTCAGAGACACGTTGACCCACCCGCCGCACTCGCCTATCACACTTGATTTAACACTAAGTAGAGTCCAGAGGGAGGAGTCGTGTAAACACAGACTTAACCACCTGAAGACAGTAAAACCAAAACATTTTGGTGTGAAGCAGACTTGAAGAAATGCCCCAGAGAGGAGCTGCCAATCACGTTACAATGAGCGTGGTTATTCTCTGCACGCCGCGCTGCTTCACCTTCGGGGGCCCCGGCGCAGGATACGTGCACGACACTCCTCAACACCGGTTAATCATCGCAGCTATTCGCGGCTCTCCGGCAGCCTGCGAAATGTTACTGATGTTGGGACGATGCAGCGCCAACTGGGGGCTGTTAAAAGGCTTTCTGTTGTTCCTTCTGGCAGGCCGGTTAATAACAGGTTGTCTATGTCAGGGCAGATGGGACTCTGTCAGGTCTCCGGGATACTGAGCCCACCCCAAGTGTTGTTATTTGAAAACACACATTATCGGAAAAGCCTTCGGAGACAGGCGCGCACCGCCTTCACTCGCACGCAAACATTTTCCCCTCGGCTTTGATGTGTAGTAAAGCCTGGAGTAGATTCCGGGCTAACGACGTCTAACATGGGACTCCTCCTCCGCAGCGGGGGGGACAAATCACTCTGCATTGCTCAGAGACAGAGCTCATGGTCCACGGGGAGAAACCGCAGGAGCCGCTGACCGAATACAGTCATCAGCACATTACAAGCCACAGGCTCCGGGCTGCTCTTTTATCATGGTATGGGGCTACTTGTAAGCTATTAGTATGGATTTCTGTAGGTCTTGAATACTCTGAGGTCATTTCAATAATGATAAGTGTCCTTTTGCATGGTGGAAAATATATGTATGGCACTGCACTTAGATTTACAGCACTCATATAACAATTGTTGCCCTTCTGCACTGCCGCTGTTCTGTTTTAACCAAATCCGTGCGAGAAGCAGACTGTACGTTCATCTTGCCAGGTAAACCCAAATATCAGGGAAAAATACCGACCAGTACAAGGTGGGTGTGTTTTTCCCGAGAAGGAAAAATGTTTTCAAATTCTACTCTAGACAGATAAAAGGTTGAATGTGCCAGGGGTCATGTTCTTGGAGAGCGCCGCATTTCTCTTCTCCATGTCTCCTACCTAATGTGCTGGCAGCACGCCTGGATTAGCAAGACAAAAACAGTCCTGCTCTCTTCCCAAGTTTGTGCTTACTACTAGATGGCAGATTATCTTTCCCACCAAGGTAGGCTATAACGAAGTGAGTGAGGAGTTGTAAGCCTGGCAATCTCGACGCTGATCTTCAAAGCCAAACCAATATGGGCTTTTTAAAAAGGACGGGCCCTTTGTGACCGTGGGGAGGTGTTACAGAGGACCCATCTGTAATCCAATATACAGCAGCTTTCAATTAAGGTTCCCCAGGAGTTCAAGGTCTTGTTATCCTTGCACAGGAGTTACGTTCTCCTCAGTACTCGGGGGCTTCCCCTAATAACACCACAATCATCCACCAAAACTGCACTTATTTCTCTCATTAAAATGTCTACAAATTCAATTCTGGGGTTAACAGATAATTATCTTACTTTCATTCACTTTTGAGGAAATGTATGGGTTGTGCGACACGGTGTAGTTATAGAGGACACATCCTTTTAGAGGGGCTTTAATCTAGGGAGGGTTGTGTAGTATTTCAGATTTATCACACACATGCTCAAGGTGGATATGTTAGAATAAATTGCCTGACGGTGTCTGAGCCTGACTTCTTTTGGTAAAGGCTGTGGACGGGACTGATGAAACACAATTAATATTTAAACAGTTCCATGAATAGCATCATCTGGTACGGTCTCATATTTTCCACAAGCAAAGATGTCCAGGCCTGCGGAGGGGAGCAGATAGGAGCGGTCCTGTGTGTGTGTGTGTGTGTGTGTGTGTGTGTGTGTGTGTCATGGACGAGCAGTGGCAGTCGCCCAAAGAGAACCCGAGCCAGCAAAGCAAACTAGGCTAAACACGCTCCCTCCTAACAGCAATAAAACTGACTGAAGAGATCAGAACTTCATTAAACACAAGAAATAGTTTTCCTATTCGGCAGTGAGGTGATTAGTACCTTTCAAACACGTTGTGTTGCAATAATCTTGACAGCGGAAAACCGATTTTAAACACAGGAACACATTAATACATGCTCATGTAGCTAGCGATACGTGTAGCAACCACGGAAGCCTTGATTTAATTATTACACATAATCACTTTCCTGCCGTGGAAAGTCACAGCAGCCCCCGTAGCACTCAGCGGGGGAAGTTGCCGCTTTTCTTTGAGATCTTATCTTTTTCAGTAGCCCATATTTTTGAAAGCTGTAATGACATCCAGGCCGGACTAGGTATAGATGTGTACGCTCGGGGCTTTTGTGAACGTGGATGATGTAGGAGTCTAGTGTAACCTGATGTACAGCCTTCTTTTCATCTCAATCCGCCTCGCTGTGAAGGACCCCATTGATGTTCTGTCAGAATGAACATGCAGCCCAACAGGGCTGTCAATTCAGAATCAGAATAGCTGTTCTCACACAGTCTTCTACTTACTAACTAGAAGAGCGACTCATTCGGGACATGATATTTTGGGCAACAACGCGACACTGTTCTCAATATTTCTCTGCTTTTTTTTTGTCAGGCTTTGGTGGGGTGGGACACATGGAGCCCCCTTCAGTGGTCCTGCTGTGGCTCCTTCTTCTTCATGGACTAGCCTGTACCGCCCAGCAGCCTCATGGGAGTCCGTCAGACAGTAGCCACGGCCGGGACAGGACCCAAGAATTTCAGAGCAGTGAGGATGATTTGGAGAGAGAGTTTCTCTACGCTGCAAGGACCAAGCGTGCTCCCGCTGACCAGCCGCAGGACAAGTGCTCCTACACGTTCATTGTGCCTCAACAAAAAGTGACCGGCGCCATCTGCGTCAACTCCAAGGAGCCGGAGGCCATGCTGGAGAATCGGGTCAACAAACAGGAGCTGGAGCTGCTAAATGTGGAGCTGCAGAGACAGAAGAGGCAGATCGAGACCCTGCAGCAGCTGGTGGAGGTGGACGGAGGTATTGTGAACGAGGTCAAGCTTCTGAGGAAGGAGAGCCGAAACATGAACTCCAGGGTCACTCAGCTGTACATGCAGCTGCTCCATGAGATCATCAGGAAGAGAGACAATGCCCTCGAGTTGGCTCAGATGGAGAACAAGATCCTGAACCAAACCTCCGAGATGCAGCAGCTCACCAGCCGATACAAGGATCTCGAGCACAAGTACACGCACTTGGCTTCTTTGGCCACCAACCAATCGAGTCTTATTGCTCTGTTGGAGCAGCAGTGCCAGAGTCGGCCTCTCCCTCGGCCCGCGCCAGTCCCCCAGCCGAGGCCCCAACCGCCCCCACCATCACCACCTCTCAACAAGCCTTACCAGACGCCTGTCCTGCCACGAGTCACCAAGCCAATCAGCAACGAGATCCAGAGTGACCAGAAATCCGTACTGCCCCTTCCTACGATGCCGGCTGGCACACACGGCCCCTCCACCACTAACAAGCCCTCTGGTGAGTATGACAAACTCAAGTTTCATCTTTTAAATGATGCCGCTGCATTTCAGAGTTCTATTTTTGATTGCATTTGAGTTGCCATCCCCAAACAAAGGAGTGTGTGTCTGTATTAACAATGATGTGAACCTCTTAGTCATTAATGACAGGCCACCGCCAAGTACCCATTTTTCAATTCAAAGCCAATTTAAATACGTCCTGCACATTCCCAGGGCAAAGGGCCCTCAGTGAGAACAGAAATGCTCTTGTCTACAGCCTTTCGGGATGCATATCATGTAATTACCATAATTAAACCCACACAAAAACACACAGCATTTTAGCAGAGTAGATACATCAGCGGGAATTGATTTCTGGATCCAAGCCCGCGTGACTGTTGAACACATGTTAGTAGTGAGCGATAAAGCTATAAAGTGTTTTGTTTTATGGTATCGGTTGCAGTGAGTGCTCTGCTGCCATTCCCGTTCCCCATTTGACTTTCATTAGGAAAGTTTTAAAATGGTGGAAACGGGAACAAACCATTCCCATCATGAGTAGTGGGAGCTTTTTCCGTTGACATTTTGGGATCCTGCCTAAGCATTTTCACCCGGCTTCATGTGAACGGTAGCCTTTGTGCAGAATGGGGTGGGGGGGATGGGGGCAAGTCATTTCCTGCTCATAGCATGCAACTAGCACCCCAAAATGTTACGTAAACCCATAACAAGAACAGAGAGCTGCGCACAATGCAGGAAAAGAGACGCCACAGAGGGATGAAATTGGGTGCTGGGGGGGCTAAAGTACGTACAGAAGGAGATACCGAGAGTCAGTGATGTCATTTGTTCCAGTTGCACCAGGCAAGAATCAGTCATATGTTCCATTAAAGCAGCAGAGTTTATCAGGCAGAACAGAGGAGGGCAGGGCAGGGCAGCTCTCTGGCTTGTCTTTGCTCAACAGACATTCCTGAGAGTAAATGGATGGCAGAGAGCAAGCCAAGAGACAGATATCGACCACAGCGATAAAAAGAAGAAAAAAAATAGACAATCTTGTTACCGAGCGTCAAACGGATGGCTTATTATGTGAAACCTTTCAGCGATCCTATGCTTTCGTCCTCAACGGAGCGGTCTCCACTCGACATATCGGCGCGCTCGGTTTCTTCTTCTGTGTACCTCTTTTTTCCTTTATGTATTTTGTAAAACTGAACCCCTCCCTCACCTCTATCCCTTTGCGTGACCCCCTTAATTCTCATTTCACTTTGTTTCCATTCTATTTCAACAGCTTTGTACTCCAGAGCCAGTTGGCAAACCACCACAGTGTGAAATCTTGAGACCTTAAACACTTTCACAGCCAATTGAAGCCTGGGAGCCAGTGGTCCCATTAGTTTAGTCTACTAGGTTTGACATTCGGGGTAAAATCATAATGGCACACAGGTTTCACTGATTTGCCCCATAAAATTAAATAGTGTTGACCTTGCAAACACACAGAATTCAATTATTTTGTGCATGGCTGACGCTGTCAACATAACCCTTCATTTATTCTGTGTTTTTTTCAGCAGTAGATAAGAATGCATAAGATGTGGTAGATACTGCCCTGTTACATCATATTGGAAAAAAAACGTCTGCACACATATTGAGTGGCTGTCAAGGGTTTACAAGCTGTCCATAATTCAATTCAATTAAGTCCCTGAACCTCCTTGCTTCAAAACATAATTTAAGGCTTTAATCTGCACGTCTCAGACTAAAATGATATACATATATCATGAAGTACAGAAAGCTAAGTGAAATTAAATAAAATAGTAATTTCTAGTGTAAAACGGCCCATATGATCAGAGTTTTTGTTCGCGTTTCATCATTCAGTAGTCAGGATTCCTTTGCCCTCATGTCAGTGTTTCTTTTGGCCGCGCAGCCGGCAGCCATTTCCCTGGTAAAGAAGCGGCCAAAATCAATTCCACTGTTAGAATAAAAGCCTCTGCGGAAAAAGAGGGGTTCCCTGTGACTGGGTATGAACGATCCGTGTGCCACTGTGGCTTTTTCCTCTTTCTCCACTTGTGAGATATGGTTTTAACTCCGATTTTATATGCATTAAACGTGTCGCCGTCACTTCTCTGTTTCAGGGCCGTTCAAGGATTGTCTGCAGGCTCTGGAAGACGGCCACACGTCCAGCGGCATGTACCTGGTGAAGCCAGAGAACGCCAACCGCCTCATGCAGGTGTGGTGTGACCAGAGACATGACCCAGGCGGCTGGACTGTGATACAGAGGAGGGTGGATGGCTCCGTCAACTTTTTCCGAAACTGGGAAACATACAAGGTGCAACAACCTCACACTAAATCAATGACCTCATAGTTTAGAGGAAGGCAGGTGGCTTATGTTTATAGGTTTGTCGCTTACCAGATGTGAACCAGTAATAAATGGGTGACCGCTGAGCTCTCCAAGTGTCTGATCTATTAACGGCCTCGGTCACTGCCAAAGACGTGAGTTATTAATTCCTGCAAGATATGTTGCCCTTTGTGAAATTAGTTTACAGAAATATGGGAATAGTGGACTTGGCTGCACATTCATTGGTGGTGTCAGCATTCGCGAGGTGTTGGTAGCATAACTTATCATCTGAACATTGCTTCACAAGGTCCGTGATAATCACGCATGTGGAGGATCATTCAGGGGAACTTTTTAAACCTTTGAAAGGGAATTCCCTTACACAGGGAGAGGCGGTTAACTGTTTTCTGGCCAATCATCCACACGTGATCTGGTTGATAAAGGCAACAATTGTGATCTATCCAAGACTTTCCAAAAACCTTTGAACCACAGGACTACAATTTGTACACTGGTCTGAAGGTCCATGGTTCTAAGCATGCGGCGGGTAGGGGTTACCACAAACCAACTTACGATATAATCGGAGCCAGAACAAAGCAGTAAGACAGCATCCATTATGTTGCATTTCATAATACATATACTTTCCCTGCTGGCATTTTAATGACAAAATAATAGTGGAAAACCAGACACCCTGTGCCAGCTTCCAACTTGGCTCCATTTATACTATTGCACGTAGACGACAGACAACTTCATTTGCAAGGTCATAGTGTAGAAATGCAGAAATAATCGGATTGTGATTTTCTTATCACTGACCTTCGCAGCAAGGTTTTGGCAACATTGATGGCGAGTACTGGCTTGGTCTGGAGAACATCTACTGGCTGACAAACCAGGCAAACTACAAGTTGCTGGTCACGCTGGAGGACTGGTCTGGCAGAAAGGTGTTTGCAGAGTACGCCAGCTTCAGGGTGGAGCCGGAGATCGACTTCTACAAGCTGAGGGTGGGCCGTTATCATGGCAACGCCGGAGACTCCCTCACCTGGCATAATGGCAAACAGTTCACAACACTGGACAGAGACCATGACGCATATACAGGTAAATTAAGAAAAGAAAAGAACGTGTTAAATGGTCCCAACTGGCTGCTTAAAAACGTTTATTTTTTTTCGATGCTTCTAGGCAATTGTGCCCACTACCAAAAAGGAGGCTGGTGGTACAACTCTTGCGCGCATTCAAATTTGAATGGAGTTTGGTACCGAGGAGGACACTACCGCAGCCGCTACCAAGATGGAGTCTACTGGGCCGAGTTCAGGGGAGGAGCCTATTCACTGAAGAAAGTGGTCATGATGATCCGTCCAAACCCAAACACCTTCCACTGAGCATCCAAGGAACACAAACTGCGCTGTGTCTCGAATGAAACACCCACTTTGACGGCGACTAGAAACCCAGCAATCTTTAGCGCTCTCTCTATAAGTGGCACGACACCAAGTCGGATGAAGTGCAATATCGAGACGGGCTGATATACTAGCACCTCCTGCACTTTGTGTACCGTTATACAGTTGTCTGTACCTTTTTTCCCCCCTTTTACACACGTATGACTCAGTAGAGACATGTTCTGATTGCTCAGGAGTTTTTTTTAATACACTGTCTTTGATCAAAGAAAAACACGTTTAAGTTGACAGTGCTCTCATTTGAACCGAGTATGAAAAACAATAAGAACTTAACATGACATCAGAACAAGGCCCTGCAATATATATTTAGTATGTATGTAAAGATGCTTTCGCAAATAACAAGCAAATGAGGTTGACACAGGAAACATGTCCAGTGACTTTTAATTTCATTCTAAATACACTTTTCAAATGTGTAATTTAACAGTGACATTTATTGACTTGTAATACAGGTTTAATTACACCTTAATATACTATTAAAACTGTACCATTTTCTTTTTCACAGGAAAACCCAACAGATAACCGCAATAACAGTTTTCTCCTTCAACATATAGCAGGTCTAAGACTACATTTGAGGAGGATTTTTTCTCAACAAAACTAGTTTCAAAATCTTGAATTGCTTCAACAGGTATCCACCAATTTGCTTTTATGGATCAAGCACTGTATTTACTGTATAAATTTAGTGGTTTGTTGAACACATTGCGTTTGTACATAACAGATATTTGTAATATAATGTATTAAAACCTTATTACATTGCAGTAAAATATGTACAGCTTGTGTGTCTTTTTCTGTTTTGGTGTCTGTTGGTATAAAAACAGTAGTGTAGCAGTCATAACCCTTCATAGACTCTATTTCATGTACATAATAATTTGACTTATGACAGTGTTACGCCAGCCTTATGGATACCACTGAACAGCAAGGTTTGACACATTTTCTAAATATGATGAGCACTCAGTGGTGACATGAAGTTTGTTTTAACATCAGGTATTTCTCATGAGAACAAGAGACAGACAATCGGGATCCAAGCATTTTATTAATGAATGAATTAATATTAGCCCATAGCATGAAGGTTCAATGATTTATAAAACATGTACGAATGTCAAATTCATGAAGGTAATCTCCTCATTGCATCATTTTAATGCTCAACTCGTTTTGGCCAATCAACCAAAGGACTACAGTTCATGTCCCTCAACATGTCAATGTATGCCATAGGAACGTTTATGGAATAAAGTAACAACGTCTACGACAATATCTAATGTTATATTTTACATATAACATTATATTTTATTTTATATATTTATTGTAGTGTAAAACATAAACATTTGATTATATTCATGAATCAATATCTGAGAAATGTGAATATTAACTCCAAATACTGTTGCTACGTTCTTATAGAAAGCACACATCTTAAACATGTTGAGTGATACTGATACACTGCGTCACTCAATCATAGGAACCAGTTTTTAACTAACTAGCAGTTTGAACACATTTGTTCCTTTAATTATCAATACAAAAATTTAACAAAATGCAATTATGTTTGTACACTAGTAACAGATAAACATGCTATCATAGAAAACTCCTTCAAGCGTCTCAAAGACCAAGAACTGGTTGCAAAAAATCCTTTATCCTGCAGCCCCATCTGGCCCAGTGTCAGCGTGTAGTCAGGACATCAGGAAATGACCGATTAAATGTGACTGGCTTGTGAAACTGATGCATCCAGCAGTTCCTGCACCGACAGCAGAAACCACCTTTGTTTTATTATGTGTCAATGGGAAATGCCAAATACAGCTGGAAAATGAGGCTAAAGTGACTTTACGCTGCAATGAATCGAGCTCTATTAACGTCATACTTTGTGACCATTCCTCTATAGAGTATTTAAAATCAATTTAGTAAAGGTTCTGGTGGAGTAAACCTGAGAATGTCCAGAGAGACCAATGACTAACAGAGCAAGACGTGACCAATCCGTATTTAATCCTCCCTGCTCTGCATAAAAACTAACTTACCATGTTAGCGTCATCTGCTGCCAAAGTAAAGACGGATGCTTATGTGTCGGTGGCTTAGACACTCGTGCTGCATTAAATCTACAAACACTGGCTGCTGGAACTGGCTCATGAGTCCAAAGCTAAAAAGCATTCTTTGCCATAACAAAGAGGCTTCCGACGGGACAAAGGAAGACATTCATCATTGCGACTGTCACTCTTATCAGCAGTGTTTTTCACCAAAGATAGATGGGACAATAAATGCGCCGTATATTGATCTTCCCAGATGGGTCAAAACTGTTTATTTTGCAGCAATTACATCACCAAACCCAGTTCACGACTGCTTTCTCCATTGACCTTCCCGCGGTGAAACAGAGGACTGTGTTCCACCGTCTCCATAAACAGAGACGACAGCCTCCTTGGATGGCGGGTATGTCTGAGGACTCACCACGATGGAAAACCCTCAGTGAGGGTGGCCTGTGCAGCCCCCACCCCTCAACCAACATGGAAAACCATGAGCTGACACAGTGCTCACTCAGCACAAAAACAACCGCATTTTCCCGGGGCCTTCCAACCTGAGCCTTCAAACCGGCCTGTATTGTTGTCTCACATCTGTAAAAATCCACGTCCTTGTACTTCTAATGGAACCGTTTTTATTTTCCTGTGCTCCCACGGATCCTTTTCACTCCACCTTTTCGAGTAAACGTGGTCATGCAGTAGAAATCTCTGCACTAATGACTCGCAGGGGACTTCAACCACACGCATGTCATGCTTTTTGCTAGAACCACATGCAGGCATCCCTAAAGACACTACACATGCAAAACGGCTTATAACGTATTGTTAATAAAAAAAAATGAAAGTCTAACTCTATCAGGATCAGCATGTGTGTTCAGGGTCCGTTACACAGCAGTATGGAAGGGCTGTGTGGGGAAGTGGCTTTTTCCTCTGCAGTCTTCCGTATATTTTCCAGTGTCTATGAATCAGGGTCATCCTAAAATCTTTTCATGCACGTGGCCAATAAATCATTTTAAATCAACGCAAATGAAACAGTAATGCAAACTTCTAAGCAGAGCCCTTCTCCCCCTGTAAGGAAAAAACCGCATTCTAATGCCGCTTAATCCTGAAGGTAACCGTGAACCGGCCGCATAAGGAATCCTAATCGGACTCTGTCATCTTCTTTCCCTCTCTCCATTCCCATAACTAACCTCAGACCGAAGACATGCTGACGTACCACAGCTATGCAACCCTCCCGTGTCTGGATATCTTCTCCGTCTCTGTCCCTTCTTGACATTCCACCGAGGTGACAAGACGCCTTCTTGAGCCCAACCTCACCTATAATTATTGAGATTCAAGCAAATGGTGCACAAGGAACGGTCACTAACTATTGTATTCAAACGACTCCCTGCCGCTGATAATTGTGATGCATATGGGAGTTATTAAGGGATGCCTAAAAATAGAAACACATAATAATGTGGTCAGGGCTTCTCTTTCAGAGTCACTTCATTGTTTATTACTTACATAGTGGAACTATTGAATGCAGGGTCTTTTTCCGTTTTCCAAAAGCTCAGCATTTGAACTCATTTCCAACCTTGGAGATGTGCACATTTGCCTAAAAGTTTGCGGCCACATGCCATGACCATTGTTTGATGTTCTTCCCGAGCGCCTGTGAGTACTCTGCAGGGAACTTGCAGGAAATCTCTTAAGGAAGTACAAGCGGAATTGAATGAAATGAAATGAATTGTATTTTCCATTGTATACAATGGAAAATACAAGTCATTTTGTAAGGTAATACTGTGACTCTTCCGGTGTTACGGTTCAGTCTCCGCCTGTAACCTTTAAAAGCTTTCTGCGCTTTCATCCGTCTGCCTTCTGCATCACCGCAGACGGAGGCCTCTGACGATCACATACGAACTTCGTGTCGTAAAAAGCTGTGTTGCAAAGGTGCAAAAAGTGCATTTTAAGGAAGAGCTTTAACTCTGACCCAGTCCAGTCCGACTGAACAGTACATCGCTACCATAGCGTGCAGTTAAAAACAGGTTTCCAGGTATTGTATTCTCTTTTAATCCTCAAACTATACAACTTAACTTAACCATTAAGCTATTCATTTAGGATTACCATGATTACATTTAAACAACTGTTGTTTTAATGATGGCAAGTGGTGATATATTTGACTAAGTGTGAAGGTCTCACACACCAGAATATTTCCTAATAAACTGTGACAAAGTGCATTATGCAATGAAGAACAGTTGGAATCTATTTCAAGAAAATGGTGTTTTCTTTGTTGGGAAATCACCTACAGACGGTGGAAACACGGTGGGAAGCTTTTACACACACAAAGGATTTGGCAGAAAGTCAGACAGCAGATGAGGAAAAGAGTGTCGAGTGCTGATGAATTTATTTTCATCATCAAAAATCTGACAATTAAGTTTTAGTGTTTTTTTTATTCCACCACTTTTGTGTGTAAGACATTTTCCAAAAGCGAAAAGTCAAAGAAAAGAAATGTCAAAGTCTCAAGAGAACTTACAATTGGAAAATTTCCTTTCAGAAATAATTTATAATAAAAAGTGCATAACTGTTCAAACTAGTGACTTATCGTTTAAGGCCATTTGGTTTTGTAACAACAAACTAAATCAAACGGCATTTCCTTTGTCATAAAGGTTTAAGTGATGAAATGTTCTCGCTCCCATTTAACTGCAGAGCTTCTGGAAGAAGAGCGACCTTTCTGAAGTTGTATTTGCTAACGTGTAGCTCCCTCTGGAGGCTCCCGCCTGCAAATACATCAGATATCCCCCAGAGATGACTTTTAATGTACCATCGAACATTTGAGCATATTTTGGAAGCCTTGTTGTTCAGCACCTAAACAATACGACTTATAACAGAATGAAGGAATTATGCTATTTTGCTTTGATCTGGATCATTTAAGTGTGCATGTAAATACAATTAGAGAAACACAAGAGACCAACCGGAGCCAAATGAGCGTCTTTATTTTACAAACGCATTATTCTATTGACATTTTTTTGATAGTAAAAAAGCAATTTACAAGCTTAAAAACAAAAACAAAAAGCAGCACAGAATGATTATGAGTAAAATATATAATTTGAATAAATATATTTTATTTCATGCTATAAAATAAATTCATAAATGGCAATAGATACAACAAATCAGCTCTAGCTAGCTTCATTTACTTCATAGATGTACAAAACAGTAGAGTTCTGAGGTTCACAGTTGGGTTGTGAGGTTGTGTGTAGAGTGGACTAAACGGGAGCTGGGGGGCGTTTCTGCTGTCACGGCTCCGCTCGGGGGGCTCCGGCGCTCCTCGGGGGAAAGTGTGGGCTCGTTGAGACCTTGAGGCAGATTGTTTGGGAACCAGTGACTGAGGAATTGTTTCCCCACCTGAAGAGAAGTGCACGATTATACTACGGACATAAGAAGTGTGTCCAACGAGACCATTTTTAACACTATATACCCTGAGTTCTAAGCTTCTTCCTTGTGTTTTTTTTTTTTTTTTTTGCCCGGTCACCAGAACACATGCAAGCCAGAGACAGTGCAGTGCAGAGTTTAGGGAGTTGTGAGAGTAAAAGGGACAACGGCTCCACTGAAAACGTCCCCCTTGACCTGAACAACTGCAGCCACACAGTCGCTTCCCGCGGAGACAAAAGGACGTCACTGAGCCTCGACGTGACAGCAGAAAGCCCGCTCCCAAACAGTGGCTGAACGGCCAAAATCCCCTCCATCATGTGTGTGTATATATATATATATATATATATATGTGTATATATATATACACACACATGTATGAAGAGGGAAATCAACCTGTCCAAAGTATCAGAAAACATATTAAAAATAAACCAATACATAATTGTCCTGGTCCGGTTTCCATTCAGCGGCTCCCTGACATTCAGTTTGTTTGATATGTGACAGGCCGAAATTTCACTAGACTTGATGATCTCGATGCACCGCTTTTAAAAAGGTTATTGCTTTTTTCTTATAATACACAGTGGACAGAAACTGACAGAAAAGCTATGGAAGACTTAAGATTTTTTTGTTTAAGCCTGTATCAGTGTTTGTAAACTACCTGAAGTGAGTTTATTATAAAAAGAATAGGACGAGCTGCAATTTCAAAAAGTAGTCTGACAGCCTTCCCTGTAAACACTTCCTTTTGATTACTTGTGGCCCACAATGCATCTCCTGTTCCTCTCAGAAGTGGAACTAAGAGGTCACAAAGCCGATTCGAGTGTGTGTCAAGTTCAGTTAGTTGTAGGTGTGTATCACATAAGTAACTACAGTTCATGAAAAGCATCTAAAGAATCTCCCCTCCATCCACCTAAGATGATTATATGGACTTGTAAAAAAAACCAACTCAATTCTAAAAGCACCATTTGAGGGGTAAAAGGTCCCTAACACAACGATTTGAGGGCTTTGTCGCCAAACCCCTTACGGGTAACTACGGAGATAAACTTTTTTTTCCTACATGGAATTGGTATTTACTAAAATAAAAATAAACTGTAAGTGCACAAATACAAAAGTTACAGAATTATTCATTGGCATTTTAATACAATTTTGTGATGGAGCAATTTGGCTACATTATATGGGCGGTGAGCTTCTTCCGTGTAGTCTATTCTCTGCTAAACACGCACGCTGTTCCCACGACCGGCGGCCTGAGTGAACAGAGACGAATCGATCTGAGGCTCTCGTGCATTGACATGCCTGAAACTGCCGTACGTCGTCAGCATTGTCCTCAGTGGTTACAGAGGAGGGATACAGTGTCGTCTCTAAACACGCAGCAGCGTCCTGCGGAGAACAAATCCGCCTCCGTTGATTGTAATCATTTGCTACAAAATCAGTTAAGCCTCAAAATTCATTCTGTGACATTAAAAAGAACAAAACGGTTAAATGACGAAAGAGCAAAAAAAACAGGGAGCAGGACTTGAACTGAAAATACAACAACATGGACAAGAATGACATGAAGTCATTTCTTTCTGTGGGGATATTATATTATAATCTCTCTATTCAATCCGATACACAATGAAGGAGGCACAGCGATCTAAGTGCCAGAATCTAAAATGTAAAGCAAGGCACTAAATTCAAGATGCCACTTTTTGAGAAGTATTTTCTCTCTTTTGTTTACATTGGCTTTAAACAATTACAATACTATTATTGCACACCTTTTATAGCATCAGCTTTTGTATGGCTTAATATATTATGTTATTTATGACTTCACCACCTAATGTCGTCTTAGCAAATTGTTAAAATTTATACGAGTGATTGTTATAAAGCTGTGAAACGTACATTCCTTACAAATGGCGATGAACTAGTTCTACATTAAATTTATTAAGTCTTCCAAATGAGCATTCACTTATGCTTTACAGTCAAAGTGTATGGTTACAAATCACCCTTAATTCTTTGGCGTGAACTCTTGGCACAAAGTTTGTACCCATTACTCACAAAAAAAAAAACGACAACACGCTGCGGCAACATTCAGTCCTTTCTTTTGCTCGGTGGGCAGATTGTAATTAGTCAGCTGCTGATTTGGATGAGGTCGGATCAGCGCTCGACGGAAACGTTAACCGGAAAGCCCAAAAGGAGACATTCTGCCGCGCAGCAGCGTGAGAGAAATCCTTACGTACAAAGATAAAGGAAAGCTAGCTAAACCGGTTTCTGCAACATCTCCCCCACATTTTGGTTTTGCTTTCTGAACTGTCGACGAGTGAAGACAACGGCCGCACATTCAGTGGAAAGGAAAAGGAACAACGGACGTAAGCGACAAGAACACAACGTTCAACTGCCGGACGCACGCCAGAAAAATCATACGCAAAACCGTGAAATAGTAAAAACCAATTCATTGACACAGATTCAGCGTGGAGCGCGTGGGACGAAATACAAGCCTATAGCAGGCGCTCTTTCAGAAGAGGTTATGAAACAGCCGGATGGCTGATAGGAAAGCAGGAGAGCAAGACAAGATAAGTATTCAGGCCTTATGTGTACTTAATGAGAAAGCAGATTCCTTTAAATCCCAATGGCATTAAACCCAAGTCTCTATATATACTAAAACACCCCCGTCCCCGATCCCCCACGGTTCAAACAGTATGGATAAAATGCGCTCCAGCATGCGTGACGTGAAGCCAATAGTATTCATGTGATCGCAGAGTCTCGCTGCTTTAAACTAGTTCTACTCGGACACTACTGCATCGGCATTAAAACTGAAATGAGCGCGTCTTCTCAGCGGCCTCCCGCCGCCGCCGCCGCCACTAAACCCTGCAAAGTGCATCAATACTTTGGATCAGCGGCTGCCTCTACCAACATTTCCCCCGTCCACGTGAGCATCACGGAGCAGCGTCGACAAACGAGGACGTTTTGTTTCAAGTCGGCGTTTTGACCTCCGACTGATACAGAGAACAAAGATCACAGATCAATAGTCCCATCATGAAAAGCTAGGACAAAAAGAAAGAAAGACAAAGAGGACACAAACCAATAGCTCTTCACAAATAATGGGTGAGAACCATGTCGAAATGGCTGAGATTCCTTTAGTTCTTTCTCTTTGCATATTAGTCAGACTAGTACGGAGCCGTTGGTGTTGTGCCGAGTTGACAATGAGTTGTACTCGAGTTTCAGACGCACACGGAGCGCTAACCTAAAAGCTGACCTCGGGACTGAACAATTTACACACACAATAATGAAGTATACTGTAAGTCAGCCATCAGAGTGGAGAGGAATACAAACGACAGCGCGGTGGGACGACGGTCGCCCATCACATGGGCGACCGTCGTCGAGAACCGCCCTTTGGCCAACGGAGAGAGAGACATCTCCCGTAGTGATAAGAGACACACTTATTGAGGGTCGTGTGGAACAAACGTTCGAAAAGACAGCGAAACAACGGCGATATGCCGCGGCCGTCCCGGAACTCCATTGTCTGCGTTTGCCGACAAACAAACAAAGGAAAGCTAGCGAAGATCGTCTGCGCTCCAAACATAGCACCTTCTTAATCCTGGCTGACCACGAGGCGTGTTTCAAGGGCCGCGACCCGGATCCAGACAATCAGCAAGGAATATTTCCCCCAAGTATCAAGGCTTTGTGTTGAGAGAATATTCTTTACAGGGTTTTGGCAATAAGATAATGCACACACAAACTAAAAAATAAAAAAACGGAGAACACATCTGTGCCTGGTAGGTTCTTGGCTATGAGGTAGAACCTGGTGAGTTTCATTGAAGTTAAAATACTGTCTGTTATGAGTATGTAGTTGCATCATGAGGTATTGAGCGGATATGTCACACGAAGCTTTGCACTGGCAGAAAAATCATTCCTTGTGAGTAGGTGACCTCCTGCGGCCACATGTGCAAAAACGGGTCAGGTAAAAAGGTGATATGACAAGCATCTTACCAGAGCTTTCACATTATCAATTATTGCAACATGCCTATATAACTCTGTAAATGTGTTTTAAAAAACATGGAACGATAAAAAGAGAAATCAATTAAGGGGTCTTGATTATTGGGACCTCCTCAAAAATAGTAAGTTGTTACTCCCTTTGCTTGAAAGAATCAAATTTCTATGAAGCACCCATTAAATCTCTGCATTCAACATCTAACTTTCAGAAAATTGAACCAAAAAAAAACCCTGTGGCGCAAAAAAAAGTCTATAGTAGAGGGAGCTGATTGAACAAAAAAAGATAAGTTTTAAGATAAACATTTGTAAAGCTCCCATAAACAGGAGCAGGAGCTAAAAATCACATCTTGATGCTTGAGCCTCCTCCGGACTGCATTTTGAACTCTCCTCCGTATCAGCAGCTGGTGCCTCTTCTGCATATTGCGCCTCTAAGGCCATCGCCTCGGCCGCATCCTCCTGCTCCTTCGGACCCGAGCCGCCCTCCGCCGTCTCCGGAGAGTCTATGTGGTTGCTCCCTTCCGACGCTCCCAAGTGCTTCTTCCTCAGGTGCTGGTTGAGGGTGCCCTGGAATGGGAAGCATTTGCCACAGATCTGACAGTGGAAGGGCTTGTTGTCCGTGTGGCCGCGGATGTGGTACTCCAGCTGGTCCTTCCTCGTGTACTTCTTGCCACAGAACTTGCAGACGAATGGCGTGATTCCCATGTGCAGGCGCATGTGGCGATCCAGGCTCCCCTTCTGGTTGAAGGTCTTTCCGCAGTAGATGCAAATGAGTCTCTCGTTGTACGGGTACCACTGGCTCCGCAGGCTGCGCTCTCGCACGTCGTTCTCCAACCCCGTGGCCGCCGCCGTCGCCGGCTCGCTGTGGTCCGAGGCCGGTTTGATGTGACCCAGCACCCCGGCCGGGATGGCCAGCGGGCGCTTCGCCCTGGCCCGTCCACCTCTGTAGCCACTCAGCAAGGAGCGGGAGGGGCTGGAGTTGCTGAGGTTCAGAAAGCCCGGGGAGGAGAGGCCTGAGTAAGAGTAGGCAGTGGACTGGATGACAGGGCCGTAGGAGCCCACGCTGACAGCCAGCACCTGCTCGCCGTCCACCAGCTCCGTGTGGTAGCCGTCGTCACCGGCCGAGGAGCTGTCCGAGTACGTGGGCCTGTCGATCTTCTCTATCTTCACGTGCACGTCTGTCACTTGCCCGTCCTTGCCGATCAGTTCCACTTGCTCCGTCTCGGCCTCCATGGGAGCCTCGTGCTCAGAGACGCTGTCGCTGCTGCCGCGGTCCGACTGGCCTTCCTCGGGCTGCTGCCGGCCCCGGCCTTTTCCTGCCAGCTCAAAGCGCGCCTCGTGCCCTGGCTGAGTCTGCCGGGAGTAGTAAGGGGGGGAGATCTGGGTGGGGTTCACGAAGAGGCTGCTGTCGTTGACGCCGTTGCCGCTGGCCTGCGAGTCGTCCTTCTCTGGGCTGCAGGCGCCGACCGGGAGGCTGATCTTGGAGTGGAGGCTCTCCAGGATTTGTGTGCACTTGTCGATGATGGCCTGCATCTGCAGGAAGCTGGCAGCCGTGAGGAAACTGATAATGTCCTTGAGCTGCAGGGACATGTGACCTGTGTAGCAAAACGAAAGGAGCTGCTCGAAAACCTCCGGGTTTTTGATGACCGAAATGGAAAGGCCACTCATGGTGCTGAGAGCCGAGTGGTCGCGGAAGTAGGGCGAACTCGCAGCCAGCACGGCTTTGTGGGCTCGAAATGGCTGACCCTGAATGTGAACGATGATGTCACACAACTTCCCTTGCAGCCGCAGCTCGTTGAGCTGGGTCAGGACAGTGTTACTGAACTCCGGCACGTCGAACTCGACGTAGCTGCCGTCGTCCATTTCTTGGATCTGTTTCTCCAGTTTGCTGGCTGCCTGATGAGAAGAAAAAAATATATATATTATTTCACAGTTAACAAAAACTACTATACATTATAAGACAGGGTTATCTTATATGGTACAGAAAAGGACAATTTATATGCTAGGCATTGTTTACAATACTTCTGAGTAGCTTATAAACTGCGTCTTTAACTCAAATACCTGCATTGGAATGCACATAATTTGTCCCGGCTTCAAAATGCACAAATGCACTTTGCCATTGATGTCTATTGGGGCTTTCAATTTTAGATTTTCAGAATTGCATTGTTGAACATCCTGGATGTTAGCAATATAATTCTATAGGCACACCAGATATCTGTTAGGAGTCATAACTGAAGGGCCAGACTGAAATACCCCAGACTCTCTTGTTATTGTTCCACGAATCTTCCCCTTTGTATACCGAACCTGTGTTTGCTAGAGCGAGTAGCCAACTGTGCAAAATAATATGATGCTGTGGGTTGTTTCTTTCTCCCGTTCCATCGCATTTATGAGTCACCAGCCGCCACTGATGTATCACAATTCTTGCAAAACAGGAACTGAGAGATAAGTTCAAGAGAGACAATCGAAGACTGGTGGAACACAATGTATGAGTCAAATATGAGTAAGCTGACCACTGCTCCGCCCCACATTAACATATATTATATATAAATGCATAAGGTGCTTGTATCACTGAACCCTATGAATAACATTCACGCATTTTGGCTAAATGATGAAGCAGATCCCCCACAAAAGGCACACCACCCTCACCACCCTGACCCACCCTGAACCCTTTTCTATGAACTGGTTCGTCAACATCAATGAGACCAAAGCAGCAGCCGTGAAATCATATTCCACTGTACCTACTGTGTCATTTTGGAGCAAATACTCCCTTGTTGCAAAACCATGTGTCAGCTCTCCAGCTTAGCCTGCATCTCCCCCCACTCCATCTGCTCTACTCCCATCTCTCCCATGGCACCTCCTCCACCTTCCCCTCCCTGGCAATTCAGCATGATCTCCTGCGTCGAGTCCCGATCAGCCCTTTTCTTAAGTAAACACTTTCTCCAATTGCTAAAGCTCGCCAGGACACCTGCCATACAAACCCCACGCTCTCCTTCTGACACGGGAGAGGGGAAGATGTAGCAAAACAGAGAAGGGTAAGAAGGTATAGCGTGTTTTATTTTCACTCTCCACGACCTAAACACATCAGTAATGGCTGCCGAATGCGCGCATGCTGCATGGAGCCAAGTTGAAGGGCTGCCAAAGAATGTATGCTGGGTAGTTTAGATGCACAGGCTGGGTGAGGGTCTTATGCATGGATCAAATGGGAAAAACAGAACATGTTTGATAAACCTATTCGTGACACAGCTGCTTCAGGTATAAAGAAAAATAAAAAGTACAATGGGACAGTTAGGGTCAGCAAAACACAAGACGTCACCTTAAGCCTTTAACTAAGGCACGTCACTCAAAAAAAAAACAAGAAGGAAAAAAACATTAAAAGAAAAAATCAAAGTCAGCCGGCAAGCATTGTTTGCTTTTTTCAACCTCAGCAGCATTTCACGTACTTTGAAGAGCAGCTTGTGGGGCAAACCAGAGGCAGGAGAGAAGTGCAAAACAGGCAAAGGTGGAGCGATTTCAAACAGATGAAAGAGAAAGGAGAAGATAAGAATAGATCCAAAGATTCAGACACAACGAGAAGGTGTGACGGAGGAACGTTGCTGGGTGAGAATAAATAGCTTTGTAGAAATTGTTAAGCCACAGGGGGAGCTCGGTATGCAGAGATAAATGTTGTATGCTTAGCCTTTGGGTGTATCCTGTGATTTCTTTCATTTCAACATGAAAACAATAAAATACCCATCTTAATTTCAGCCCACACGCAGTCATTGACACATACAGACAGAATTACACCGTCCTGTGCAGCGCAGGGATGGCGCTTCGCCATGAGCACACAATCATGTCGTTCTTGGTTGGAAGGACTAAGAGGGGTGAAAATGAATTTAATTGATTCCTTAGGAATTTTAACGCAATTTCAGTCCTTAAGAAAACCTAATCTTTCCGTTCCCAATATCTACATCCGCCAAAAGCCACAACTGAAGCATCCCAGAGAGAGTACCTAGTTGAACCAAAATAGTTGTCTGACCTCCACAGTGACGGTGTATATTGACAAAGTCAAATCAATCTACTATCTTCATATTTTCTATCATAAAATCCAAAAAAATCAAAAAAATCGAATGGAAAAAAACGTTCTTTCTCTGCGGCCCGGTACCAAGTGACCCGCGGACCGGGACCGGTGGTCAGGGACTACTGGTGTAAGTTCTGGTGTTGAAAGTTCTGATGTTGAAATAAATCTGGCTTTTGATTTGGATTTTTCTTTATTTTTTATAAATTACTTTTTAATTCTGACAGATCAGGTCCCTTAAACAAACTGTGCACTTTATTTAAAACTATATACAGTATATATTACAACCTGTTTGTTCTGAAGATCTTGTGCACTGCGTTGGAAATAAAGGCCTTTTTGTTTTTTTTCCCAAGATTCATCAATTAATCAAAAAAACAGATGGTAATAAACAGATAAATAAACTATTAAAAGAATTGGTGCAGCCCTAGTTGTGTATTCGCAAAGCCACGTTGTTGTTTTCTCTGGAAAAAAAAGAAAGGCGCTGAAAGAACTGGAATTACGAGGTGGGCGAGAGCAGTTTGTCCTGTTCTATTAACGGCGTGCTGTGATTACAATCTCGTCTTTATGTAACATCGATGTCTCGTAAACTAGACAGAATTCTAGACAGTTGCAGCTCCAGGTGCTCCGTCTCTGGGTGGGGGCTCTGGTGGAGCCTCGGCCGTGTTGCTGGGAGAGAAAGGCGAGGAGGAACCAGGACCAGGACGCCCGGCTCCAGTAAAAGGAGACGTCTTCTAAAGGGAAACTGGTATTCAGGGACACTGCTGCTTTTGTTTACAGCAATGCTTATAAAACAAACACAAAATGAAAATGCCTAACTCTACCATAATAAAGAAACTAAAACTCAACATAGATCATTACATAACTCGGACCTTGACCTAAAGCAAGTTCGAGGTTAGAGATACAAGAAGATTACTCGGACTGCAACGCTACCTGCCCGACGTGAACACATGGAAACTCTTACACAAGACAGACCCTTTACAGCCATAACCATGTGATAGCGAAGCCAAGCAAGAAGAGCGTGTACCTAAATTGCGGCTGCTTGTGTCATTTGGAATCGTTATGGCTACAAAACCAGGCCGGTAAACAGTCTTTGGCAAAGTTCGCCACCTGCTTGTCTTCACCGCAGGTCAATGCCGCTTTTTCCCCCCTCTTCTCCTTTAACGGACCGCGTACACTAAAAGTTTGGTCTGTAGCTGCTGTTGTGGGAACAGTATCTCTGCTGTACGATACACAACGGTTAACAGATACACTAAATATGTACACTGTGCACACCCCATTTAAGAGATAACAATGAAATTAGATGAAACATAAATATTCAGATGGTGGGAATGTTCACCATGGATGTCCCAATACAGTGCAACATCAAATTACCAGAGTTGGTCTAGAATCAATACATATCACTAGCTAACGCTTTCCCTTAACTAGCAGTTTTCTGTTTTTTTGTCAACAATCAACTGTACATGTCTTGTCGGCACCTTCAAAGGGGCTTTTGATGACAAGCCCCACTAACTTGGATATTATCATGCGACACTGGCCTTTTTCTTACAGCCACAGGGAGTCGACAGTCACATTAGAAATGATGCATTTGCTGCAATGCCCTTAAAAAAGGTGTTGTGACGCCAAATGGTCCGATTTAGCTCCAGCACTGCAAACGTCAACAACTGGTGCGTCTTATTTAGGCAGGTTTCCCACGTTTCCAAAATGTAAACATATTAAAGGATAGCAAACCCTTTATATAACGTTGTTATTCTAAATTCTTGACTCTTTTCAGATACAGAAAACAGTACAGGTAGTAATATCTGTATCAATAACTAAGAGAGAAACATCACAAAATCCTTTTTTGTAAAAGTCACCCGAAAATTCAATTTCCACATTTAAATAAAAAATTACATAAACCTCATGTTTGGAGCTCCATTTTGCGGATAAGATTTAGTAGTAGTAGAAAATAGGAGCAAGTTGAAGCATGTCCTAAAAAAACGTCCTGTTTCCAGCAGAGATAACCGTATGCACCTAGTAATTATACGCCTGGTGTTGTACAATTGCTCATTTCGGCTCGCGGTTCAAACCAATACGGTTTTACTGCTGATCCCAAAACTAAAACGGGACAATAAAAAATAGGGTTGAATGGGTACAAAGCCATAAAGGTTGTTTGCTCATGCGAAAGCAGCAATTGGTTTGGCTCCACTGTGTTCCAACATGCCTTAACGTTAGAATATTTATATTCTATATATATTTATTTATATATTAGTGTAGCAGATGGATGGCTGTCACAGGAACAACAGTGACAGGTGGCCTGCGTGAACCCAGGTGCGGAGATTAACATGTCAGGTCCCTGCACTTCGTCCTTCCCTCAGCAAAACGTTAGCATCACGGACAACTAACTTCACTTCGTTGTTGGCAGGCAGCGTTCTACGAATACCGGTATAATGCACATTTCAGCCAAACAAACGCCCTGCAGAAACACTTTCATTCGAGTTCACGCTGAATGTTTAAGTGCCCGCATTAACGTGCAGTGTTTTTTTTTTTAGAGCAAGTCTCTCCTACGTGCCGCGTTGACTTCTTCATGAAGGCATTTTACGTGTTAGCATCATCGTGCATGGTTACTCGGCGTGTACTGTTGACCCCATCGTAACGAGTTAGTTACGTGCATACAGTAACCTCACCTCGCCGTCTAAAACTTCATAGTCAACCATTTCCTTCGTGGTTACAGTCAGTTAGCTATTGGTGGTGTACAGGAGGAGGGAGAGGGGGGTCTATGCTAGCTAACTTTAGCTTGACAGTCACTGCCACCTACTTTTGTTTGTTTTTTGTGAAATGTGTCATTTCTACGGTAACTTGTACGTAAATTGACGTCAGTTGAAACACTACATCGGTCGTCAGGGGCCGAAAACACAACTATTAAGCAGCACACACGCACTGTCTTAGCTAACTACAGGGTTAGCTACATTAGCTAGTGTACAATCGAGTCATTATTTCCGAAACGAAAGCTGGAATTTTAGACACGCTTCCCACTTCAACGCATTGTGAATGGTCCTACGGCTTCGTCCTCCTATTTCAGACTGTGAAAAAACTTGCCAACAATGTGTGGGCTACCAGCTAAGTAACGTCGAACGCGGATGCAAACTATCTCGGCTGTCATGAAATAACGTTAGCTGACGCTGCTAAGCTAGCGCTCGTATGCTAACCGTTGACGCTAGTTAGCAACCGCCCCTGTGTCAGCCAGTGCTAAGTAGCGGCTAACGCTAGCTAGCTTCCAGTTGCTAGCTTACGGTCCCAGACAATTATATCCCCATTTATTTCGTTGTCAGTGCAATAACGCGCCTACATTGTAGACGCGTTGTGGCCATAAACCCAAGCAAAAGTTGAAGTACATCAAACTCACCGTATTGCAGATTAGCATTAAACGGTGTCCATTCCCCTCAGTAGTTCGCGTACACTTACAGCCAGGCCTCCCCCCCTCTCCGGTCCAGATGTGTCAGACAGTTGCTGCTGCAATTTTTTTGCATCAACAGGAAGTGTTCTTTTGGCTCTTTGCATTCATTTCTATCAGTGTGTGCGGCAGCCCCTCCCTGGCTTATGTCAGTGTTATGTGCCAAGACGTCATGTTCTGAATGGTGGAGAACACATACGCGCGTAAAGATAAAAGTCATGAGCCCTACGCTCTGTTTCCAGATAGTTTTTCTGAAGATGACATCTGTATGTACTGATACTCTTATCTGCTGACTACACCCATGTCACAGTAGCATAACGTTACATAGGTCAGTATCATCTGCTTCCTCTTCACACTCAGTAATAGGGACACTACATTTTTGTTTTTTACTTTCATGGCAATAAAGCCAAATTGTGTTTTGAATTGTGTTTTTAGTGCGTTTGTTGTTTTTTTGTAAATATTGTATGCTACCTCATCACTGGGGTTTTTCTTCATTAAAATCTGACTAAAGACATGCCTTTAGCTTTCCAGATGTGCACCTATGCAGCTGTCGCCCCCCACTACCGCCACCACGCACCCAAAATAGTGGAGGGAGGGAGGGGGGTCAGAAGGAGAAGTTGTGCCACCACCACAAACACAGAGGCCATAGTCAATAATGCACAGATGTCAAGCCTTGGTCGCTATTCTGGTTTTTCAGCTATTTGTTCTTCTGTTTCATAAAAGTTTGGGGAACTATTTAGAAAATGAGATTATCTGAAAGTCAAAAGTCATTCTGTTCTGCATAGAAACCACAAAGGGGCGCTAGAGACCAAATTGATGATAAACCCTCAACTTCTCACACCATTCCCCTTTCATGATTTCAATCTAAAAACGATTGAGGTGTGTGATCATTATAATTAAACCATTCAGATTGCTTTATACAATACTTTATTAACTTCTATGTCTATTTAATCAAATTATGTTTTTTATTTGCACCTGTTTGTTTTCAGGTTCTGGTCTCAAATATATATTTTAACCAACTTTTCAAATTATTGGATTATATATTTGAAAAATGAGGAAACTATTGGACACAGAAAAGTTTAAAAGGAAAGTTCATGAGAAAGAACAAGGCATTTCCTCAAGACTGTTGCAGATAACTTGAGTAATTTTTCCCATTAATTGGATGTACTGCAAAAATAACACTATGGGTCGTTTTTGCCAGAGTAACCCTGAAGCAGGATCCTACGAAAACAGAACTTAAATTAAGCTTTATGTTTTTTGGCCATCATCCAATATAGACACAGAGATTTGTTTACTGTTGTAACGACTCTTATCTGGACTGCAGACTTTAAATTTAATAATCAAGCAATAAAACCTTAATTATTTTGTAAACACTTGGTACCAACACAAAAGTCTGGCTTACAACAACTCATTTTTTATTTTATTCAACAAGGTTTATGTCTATAGATTTTTTTTAATTGTGAATATTGTGAGACCAACCAGAGGGCCAAAGTTCATGGCCACATTATGCTGCTTGAAAACAGCGCGTGTCCATTTGTCTGTTGGTGAAAGAGACAGGCAACGTCTTGTCTCCTGTCTACTGTTGGGAGCACCAACCTGAAATGAATGTGCGCTGTGTGTGTTTTTGCCTTTTATTGAGTGTGAGTGACAGCTTGGCAGCCCAGGTGAATATCTGACCTAATCTGTGTGCAGGTGGGTGATCAACGTTGAGAAAGGAATCGCTTTGTCATTGCACGTGCTTCTTGTTGGACAAGTCGCTCCTCTATTCTCGACCCTAATTTGCTTCTCTTTTTTTTTTTTCTTCCTGGAGATTGATGCACAACTGAAGGTGCAGCCAAGATATGGTGATTAGAGATGGTTTTGTTGATCCGCAGGAATGATCGTGGTATTGATAACATTTCAAACAAACTCACAATCAAAGGGTTTCCTGTTGAAGTTGTAATCTTTTCTGAAATGGGGCTTTGTTTGCTCAGTGTCATTTAGTTGACCAGGATTTATTTGGCGGTGAGCTAATGGGGCCGCTACTGAGTGGTGCAGTGCCCGGGACCGTATAGGGGCTCCAGGTGGTGTGGCCTCGGGGCTCTGATGTGCTGCTCCTTTTTAATCCCAGATGACATTGCAAAATCCCACAAACCCCCTCCTGCCCGGGTCTAAGACTGTATAGGAGCGGAGGCCAGATGATTTGTTTAAAGAGCACATATCATGTATCAAACTGAGGGAATAAGGAGCTCCACTGTTTCATGTTAAGCCTGAGACCAAAGGTTAGGTTTTATATGAATGACAGGAATTTATTCTTCATCTGAAAACAACATTTCAGTGACTCCTTTTAAAAAAATTCTCAAATTATATTCCATCAATTGCAATAGCATATATATAAAAACACACACATGTCATCCTTTTCTTTGGAATATGCAATGCTCACGCAAAGCGATCAAACACTTGCAATACGCTGCAATCAACAAATGCCACTCTAACCACTGTTTGTTTGCTAACCTTGAATAAGTAGTCCAATGTTTAGGCTCAACATGAATAACACATTGTTTTCTATGTGTGCCAAGAGGCCCAGAATACCTCGGCTGTCAGTGCCGGGGAGGACAATGGTCTCCCAGTGCTCCTGTCCAGAAATAGTCCATAGCTCACTGATGGAGAACATATTTCCCAATAGCAGGTGTCTGAGTCAGTCAGTGGCTGATCCTCGCCATGACTGTAAATGAAAGGGCCAGCTCGTCCAGGTGCGCGGGCACCTCTTTGGTCCTCTCGGGTTTCTCCTCGACGGAGGAGCTTTTGGTGGAAGAATGAACAAGAGAAATATTGAGATTAAAGCACGTAGGTTAAAATTATAATCATATACATCCATACCGCTTCAGCATACATGTGATATTCTATAGCGAGAGCACTTTTCCTAAAATAGTTATCGATTTTATAGATAACATAGAAAGACTTTTCTTAATAATTCTTTCTCTTTACATATAAGTAATATGAAGGTGTTGCTCTTTAGTTAATGCTTTGTATTGGACAACTTTTCCCAAAATCATTCTGTGTTATTGGAAGTGTTAAACAGAACACAGCATACGCTTATGAATCATTAATACGACACAATGATATGAGTGAGTCAGATTGATACATCTTTATTTCATTTGAAAAAATCTGCTAAATTCCTACCAGAGCAATTGGAGTGAAAACCTCTAAAGCCAAGAGACTTTCACCAATAAGTGCAATAATCACTTGCCCCGCGATGACAATGACCTCTCAGATGTGTCATATATTTGCCTGAGAAATTAAGCCAATTTGTGGAAATGGTGGCCTGGGGTTGAGGGAATACAGAGTGGCTTGTAAAGATGAGTGATATCTGGCACAGCATGAAGGGAATGAGAGGTGTGCTTCCCGGTGCTTAGCTCAAATGAAAGCTCTGATTAGTGGAGCAAAGATCAAAACGAGCGAGCGGCGGAGGCTTCAGCTGGGCCTTTGTTATTGATAAGTCTGTCATCTCTGCTGATATTGGAGCAGTAATGGCAGCTGATGATTAGGCCACTCCTGAGCTATTAACTACATTTCTTATCTTTTTTACTGGGGCCCAAGAGAGCCCGTACCAAAGACAAAGGCGCCCTTTATTGTGCTGCCTCCTTAAACGGCATCCACCTGACCTAAAAGGCACAACTGTTACTGTCTTTCTGCCGGGCCAAAGAAGATACATGTCAGAGGTCGCAGTGTGCTGCGGTTTGAAATGAGGGGGTTCTGAGTGAGTAAGCTGCTGAAAGACGGCTGCAGGAAAATTACAGAAAATTGGCTGTTTTGTCAACATTTCATCAGAAGATTTACAGAAAGCTGACCCCGACCCCGACCCCCCCCCCCTCCCTTTCACAGGGCTAAGAAGATTGAGTGGGTCAGAATTGACTGACAAACAAATCTCTTCTTTATTTCTTTCTCGCTTTCTCTTTCCCGCTCGAGAAGTGATATTCAATATGATCTCCTTTTAATGATCCTAAGTGGCTGAAATTACATTTACTCAACACCTATTGTTGGGGTTGTTTTAGTCTGATTCAGGGGCACACAAAGGGCACAAAAGGTACTCTTCAAAATGTTTCAACCCCTCAATGAAAATAATGATAAGCATTTTGTATTTTTTATCACGGTGAAGTACATAGATCCATCAGGCTTACATTCATTTGAACATTTAGCTGCTAAAATAAACGTTAGGTAGAAAGATAAGGAAGGTAATATATGTTCAGTCTGCTGGCTAATGAACACTAGATCATTGATAGATTCCCAACTCCTTGTTCTCCACTGGTGCAAAAGTGTACATGGGAAGAATGTGGAGGAGCATAACTAATTAAATAAAATTAAATAAAACTGTGTAAATGGCTAGCTAAAAATAATAGATGAAACAGTAGGTAAACCCAATAAATGGAGGCGTCTCCAGCATCTGCATATCCATAGTAGTAGGAATGCAGTTCAGGTACATGATAAAACGTGTATAACAATATATACTTATATATAATTAATTAACATATTGTTATTATTATCAATACCCAATGTGAATCCAATTATTCTGAACATGTCGTGAACGCGGGGGGGGACTAAGTGGGTAGGATACATTCGACACGGCTTTGGGGCTACATTTAACAAAAAAAGGTTGGGAACCACTGGGCTGGATTGCAGACAAGCTCAGTTTAGGCGCAGCATTTACATCCTCAGCTTCCTGCTTTGTCTCTGACCTCGGATCAGTCCACTCTCTGCCTTTGGTATTCCCGTACAAAGGCCAACGGGAATCCTAGGCTTGTTGATTTAGCCCCCAGTGGCTGGAGGCAAAGCATCTTTCATTAACGTCTAAAACCTCAGGAATGAGATACTGGCCCCACGATAAGATCTGGTAATGCAGTAACATGGAATTATGGAAAAGAAAATTGCCATTTTGTATATAAGCACCTGTGATCTCCCATGAAAGCCCTCTGTTCCCCAGGTTGGGTCAGTCCCAGGAGAGGACAGGGTGCTGGAACCCAATCCATCCCGCAGAGGAGAGATTTTCAGGCTGAAGGCCTCGAGCCATGGAAGGTGCTGCTGTCTTTGGAAGGTTAGCTTAGAGTAGCAAGACAGTGATCCTATGAATCATCCCCTAGCCACCGGAGAAATGGCCCCCTGTTTGTAGTTCTGTCTGTAGTCCGCAAATGCTTTAAGGTCAATACAAAGCATTT